AGGTCCAAAATTTCCCCCCAAGTCTCATTTTTTTCAATGCTCTCATTTCCTGTAATACAACTTCCCTCCATTTAGGAATTTCCAAGGCTTCTTCGATATTTCTCAGGATCTTTGTGATGTTAAGATTAGATGTAAAAGTACGAAATCTTGTAGATAGAGCATTATAAGACATTAATTTTGAAATAGGATGGGAAGTACATGACTTAATTGGTTTTCTGAGAACAATGGGTAAGTCAGAAATTTCTAAGGCTTCATGAGGAGCCATCATCGGTTCTGACTCTTTTGGTGCCTCGGATGTGATAGTTTCCTTGTACTTTGATTTTGGTTTCCGAGAGTAACCTAGTATCTCTTCATTACTTTATTTTTCTACATCTCCCCCTAGTTGTAAGTTTTCTACTGTTAATGGCATATTGGATTGTAGTGTGGAGTTATTGATGGGTGTAGACTCAAGGGAATTGAAATTAAGGTTGAGATCGAAATCTAGGAACCAATCTTCGTGTAGTGTCTCCCCCTAAAAAGAGGTTTTTGGAGATATGGTGTATTTTTGAAGAAAGTGACATTAAGACTTACAAATGTTCTTTTTGTTGAGGGGTCAAAGCATTTATAACCCTTTTGAGTAGGAGAGTATCCGATCAGAACACATTTAACAGCTCGAGAATCAAGTTTACCTCTGCGATAAGAATGAATATGAACAAAGGCAACACAGCCAAACACTCGTAATGATAGGTTGGAGTTGAGGCGAGAGGTAGGAAAGAATTTTTGAAGTTTTTGGAGTGAAGATTCGAAGTTTAAGATACGACTGGGCATTCTGTTGATCAGGTAGGTGGAGGTTAGGATTGCATCCCCCAAAACATTTTAGGCATATTCATTGTGAATAACAAAGCACGAGCCACTTCTAGAAGGTGTTTATTCTTACGTTCAGCAATCCCATTTTGTTGGGGAGGATCGACGCAAAAACTTTGATGGATTATTCCACGGGTTTGAAGAAAATTCCCCATGGTACTATTTAAGTATTTGGTGCCATTATCCGTGCGTAAAAATTGAATTTGGGTTTGGAATTGTGTTTGAATCATGGAGTAAAAATTGATGAATACTAAGCGAACATCTTATTTATCTTTTAGTAGGTATACCCAGCAAACTCAAGTGTGATCGTCAATGAACGTCACAAACCATTTTGCACTAGACGATTGGAAATTCGTGAGGGACCTCATAAGTCGCTATGTATCATAGAGAATGGTTTGGATGGTTTGTATGTGGATGTCGGGAACAATGTACATTGCTGTATTGCAAACTCACATATTTCCCATTGTATATCAACGAATTTTTTATTCATAAAAATCGATGGAAACACGTTTTAGGTACTGAAAGTTTGGATGACCCATTTTAAAATGCCATAACAAAATATCACTATTTCTAAAAACGGATGCAGAATCACAAATTGTAACTTGACACTGTTTACTCACATCAATATCTTCAAACTAGTAGAGTCCTTATGGATGTTTGACTTGACGATTGGAAGCTAGAAAACATTTTGTAAAGTTGCTCCATCTGTTCGGGATTGAATGCATCACTAGACTCAGATTTTCCCGTTTGGTAATCAATAGACGCCGGATAACCACGATTTTTATTATTTTGTCTTGACTTCCAATTATTTGGTTTCCCATGTAGATCCTAACATATATCTTCTTTATGTCCTGGTTTTCGACAATGCTCACAACACAATCTACCTCGTTGTTGTTTTGAACCCGGCCCGACTGAGGCTCCTTTAGAATATAAGCCCGTCATCCAAAGCCCATCACTCGAATTATTTGTGCCATTATTTAAGCCCACTTCATTATTAAACCTAGCTGGCCCATTATTTACATTTACTGCCCATTACTTCGATTGGCTGGCCCAATATTAGGAACTCCAGATTGTTTAGACCTCGGCCCATATTTGTTGGAGATCAGTCCAGACGCTTCCATCGCCGGCAACCCATACACACCAGAGTCGCCCAACATGATTTTCCTCCAATTTTCTTCCCTTCTCACTTCTACAAATACTTCTCGCAGCGAGGGAAAAGGACGCAGCCCAACGATCCTGCCACGAACCTCATCAAGGTAGCTATGGAGACCTGCGAGGAATTCAAACACCCTTTCGGTTTCAAGTTTCTTCGTGTAACGTACGCCATCCTCCGAACACTTCCATTCCTCCGCCGAACTCAGGTCCAGTTCTTGCCGTAGTCCGGTCATCTCCAGGAAGTAATCCGTCGCTTCACAATCCCCTTGCTTTGTTTGCCATAACTTCGACTTGATTTCGAAAATTTTCGAGAAGTTCTTAGAGTCTAAATGCATTTCTTTGATCGCCTCCCAGACGTCTTTTGCAGTTGGGAGAAATATCGATAGCAGGCTTCATGGAATTGACAAGCCAGGCAAACACCATCGAATTCTCCGACTTCCACTTCTGAAGGAGAGCCGCGTTCATTGAGGCCGGCATCTTGGTTTTCCTAGTTAGGTATCCAAGTTTCCCTTTTCCATCGATTAATAGTTTTATCGACTGCGCCCACTCTGTAGTTTCTGCCATTCAGTTTCCCTATCGAGAGTTGGAATGCTGAATTTTCGATCCCTCCTGTATTCATGGCAGACGTGGCTTCTACCTCTGAATCAGAGATTAAAGTCCCTGTATATCGTGGCTAATTCAGCCATGTATTGGCTAGGTTAGAAACGAACCCACTCTGATACCATGTAGGAAAACGAATTGTATTAATTTCCAATAATTGATACAACGAACGAATAAAATTTATAATATACAGAGATTTGTAAATAAAGAAAATTCTAATCTCCTAAAAATAGTAGGAAATAAATACATATTTTATACTACAATAATTATGGAATGTAAAATATTCTCAAATCAATTTTGGCTCACAGTCTTATTTGGTAGGATTGTATTGGCTAGGTTAGAAACGAACCCACTCTGATACCATGTAGGAAAACGAATTGTATTAATTTCCAATAATTGATACAACGAACGAATAAAATTTATAATATACAGAGATTTGTAAATAAAGAAAACTCTAATCTCCTAAAAACAGTAGGAAATAAATACATATTTTATACTACAATAATTATGGAATGTAAAATATTCTCAAATCAATTTTGGCTCACAGTCTTATTTGGTAGGATTCGGTTTCCACACTATGCTTTGCACTGGACGTGACATTTGTTACATTGTATGGTAAGTCGATATTTAACCCTAGGATCAGAACATTGAGTATTGGTAAAGAATACCCTTAAGTAGCTTTGAGAAACAAGGAATCATATGTTAGTTCACTCATTACCCGATCTTGTTCCAATAGGTTACATAGATTCAAACTTCCAGGCTAATAAAGACTCGCACAAGTCTACATCAGAATTGTTGCTTTACTTGGTGGGTCATTATTCAAAGAAGTATTAAGCAACTATACATTGTTGATTCCACCATAGAGGCTGAATATGTGGCAGTTTGGTTCAAATTGGTACCAAAATTCAAATTAAATCTCTCATAAGGCAGAAATTTTAGGTTTGAATCCTGAAAGATGCGATACAATATTGCGAGTGTGAGATGAACTAAAACTGTCCCAAAGCGGACAGTATGTAAGCCAACAACTTGAGCATAGATGCTCAGGTCATTACACGACTATTGCATGAATACAGTAACATAACAAGACAGACAAACCAACAAGAGCATGTCCACGGAATGTTGGACAAAATACACATGAAATTAGCATTTGATAATATCCTTGTTGGAAAATAACATCATTTCTCATCTTATCAATTCTAGTCTGACAATTTCCATCTTAATATCCTTATTTTTCCGACATTCATTATAGATATTTGAAAAACAATTCAACGATACCATAAATCATAGCAAGTCTAATAATTGTTTTGTAGAACGCCTTTCAAACTTAGAGGGATATATAAGAAATTTCCATCCATCCATTTCTAATTCTATGCATTTCATCTTCTTTAATTTTTCCTCATAAATAATTGAACCTAAACACATAAACAATCACTTTTTGGGACAACAAGGTCATCTAAAGTCCCTTTATTGCTACTCCTGTGCAATATGAATATTTTCTATTTCTTTCTACAACTTAAAGCCTTCAGATTCCAAAGTGCTCATCTATTGTTCTAACTTATGATTTAACCCCTCCTAGTCTCATCAAATAAAACTCATGGAACTTTACCCTTGCTTGAAACCTTTAAATTTTTAATACATTTTTTCTCTCTTATTTTCGAGCACATATTCTTCATTAAAATAATATTACATGTATATCAAAAAAAATTCCTACTTTTTTAATCGCATATTCTCCCAAAAAATACTATTCTATAATACATTTTACCAAAATTTCTCATTATAATGTGTGTCAAAAAAGGGCTTCATCTCGAGTGTCTCTGAAGCTCATCCATGCTTAAAGGGAAATGAGAACTTAAAGGCCTTAACAATGTCATATATCTAGTAGAAATCCATTTTCTTTTTACCTCTCACCATAGTCTTCCCTCCGCTCCCATCATGGACTTTTTTGATTTATATAAATAAACAATTCCAGATCTTCTCTTTTCTTTTTACTTTTCATTAATGTTCCTAGAAGGTGCATGGCTTCCATAGGGGATCTCCCTAAAACAAATCATAAGTGATTCTCTATATTGGTCATAAAATAAACCCCCTCCCCCCAACAAAAAAAAAAAA